ACGTCTTGTAGGCCGCCGTACCGTATTCGTCTTGGGTCGATTCGCTGCCGATCCAAAAGTGCACGTCATGGTCAAGCTTCATCGAGGCTGGGTCCTTGAGGTATGTGCGCAGCACAATATACGAGTCACCGCGGTGAAAGCGACCGTACTTGTACTTGGGCCACGGCACAACCTTGAACTGCTCCATGCGCCAGACTTGTATTCCCGCGCTTTTCCCAACGTCGATCCATTGCGGCTCACCGTCGGCTGCGGCCGCCTTGCACTTCCTCTCGATCTCTGAGCCAAAGTTGGCCAGGTTTGTGTCCTGCCAGTCGAGCTGCTTCGGCATCACCTCTCGGCCGGCGGCTTGCTTCAGCTGGGTCGCTTTTAGGCCTTTCAAAAAAAGAAATGAAAGCAAATAAATAAACAGAAGTCGTCTCACAGCTGGAGGCAGGTCACTAGACTGAGATGAGACCGCCAGTGGATGTGGGAGTCCACCGTGCACCGCGCTGCGAGCCTGTCGTGTCCCTTGTCAGGAGCAGGAGAGCCCCACCTGTCCCCCTGATCGCCCTTCCAAATCCTGCTCGTGCAGGTGGGGACCCTGTCCTCGTCCCATCCCTCGTTTGGCGTGTCTGTTTTCTTTCTTTCTTTCTTTTTAGTCTATCGAGGCCGGTAGAGAAACTGTCGGACCATAAAACAGCATTGTAGATCCCTGGGCGAGGGTGGTGGCGTCCCCGTCGGGAAAGAATTTCCTCGCGGCTTACGGCCGCTCGCGTAGAAGCCCCTCAGATGATTGGGGAGAGAGAGATGTAAGAAAACCAACAAGAAATCACGCCTCTCACAGTGATTTGGGCTCGGCAGCTTGTCAGCCCTCAGCCGAAGCTGGGGCCGGTCCCGTAGCCGAGAGAGCCCGCGCCGATGAGTTCGACGCGGTCGGGGGGGCCTGCGGAGAGGCCAGCGAGGTGGCGATCGCTGTACTTCATGGCGCCCTCAAAGTGGGGCTGGCTGACTCGCCAGAGGTCGATACTCTGGACGACCCATAGGATGCCACGAATGCCTGAAGGGTGAAGGAGAGGGAGGCGAGGCCAGAGGCAGGCTCATCTGCTCTCGGGTGATCTCACTTTGGTGGCTGAAGGACCCGATGGTCCTGTCACATTCGCGTTCCGAGTCGTGGGGGTAGAAGAATTCGAGGTAGAATCGAGTCAGCACTTCCTTGTAGTACAGCGGACCGCCAGGCTCGCCGGCAGCATCCGCAGGGAGGCAGCATATGAGGCACCAGTCTTCTGAAGAGCTCAACAGCTGCGGCCGCGATGGTAGAGTCGGCCGCGAGCGAGCAGCTTTTGGCTGCGGGATCGAATCGCGGAAGGCTCATGCCCTCGCGGAGCGACGCGGGTCGCGCGGCGCGCGCGCGTGTGCGAATGCGACAACAGACGACAGACGACCGACGCCTGAGCTCTGTACGACTGAACGACCGTCGCCGCAATCGCCACCGCCGCCATTTTGACGAGCAGCGCGAGCGCACTCGTCGGCGGCCAGCCGTCGCGGGCCGGGCCGAGCCCGGCCTCGACCGGCCGCGCCGCCGCAGCAGGCCGGGAGGCCCGAATGGCGGCCGACCAACTGAGGATCCTTTCTTCTCCCCC